GAATTTTGGTATTATTTATGTTAATTTATTCTAATAATTGTATTCATTTCATCTTGTTTGTATAATATTAATTTATTAATTTTGAGGTGTAATTTATAAATTTAATTAATGTGTTTCTTAAATTATATTTTTAGGCAATATTTATGTGCTATTGAAGTATTTAATTTTGGCTAAATTAATTTTATTTAATAAGTATTATTTATTTAAATAAATATTTATAAGGTGTTTATTATTTATATAGGTGAAATAATGCTTGAAAACTGATATGGGAGTCCAAAACTGGCCTTAAAAAGCGAAAAAACAGTCACCAGCGCGAAGTCAACGGTCAACGGTGGAAAGTCAGCGCGTGAAAGTCAAAGTCAACCGCTGCGCGGAAAGCAAGCGAGCGCGGAATCAAGCGGCGGCTGGCACGGAAAGTGAGCGGCGGTTCCATAGGAGTGCGCGAGCGCGGAATTCAAGCGGCGGTCGCACAGAAAGCAAGCGAGCGCGAAAGGCAAGTGGCAGCTGGCACGGAAAGTAAGCGGCGGCTGCATAGGAGTGTGAGAGCGCAGAAGGCAAGCAAGCACAGAAGGCGAGCGGCGGCTGCATTTATGAGCGCGGAAAAGGGGCAACGGCTGCATTTATGAACGCGGAAGGCAAGCGGCGGCTGGCACAGAAAGTGAGTGGCGGCTGCATAGGAGTGTGCAACACGGAAGGTAAGCGAGCGCGGAAGGCGAACAGCGGCTGCATTTATGAGCGCAGAAGGCGAGCGGCGGCTGCATTTATGAGCGCGGAAAGCAAGCGACTGTTGTAATTACTGTCGCTGGTCAGCGGCGGCTGTATTAATTGCCGCTGGTCAGCAGTGCATTTACTGCGCCGTCACAATAATTCCTGCATAGAATTTTACTGCATTTATGTATCCTGCACCCTCAGCTCTTCATTTACTACACTCTCCCAGTTCCCTTAATTAAATTCCTGCACTACTTTTTAGCCAATTTTTGGCTATTTTTGTGTAATTTTTATTCTAGAACCTTCTAGAAAATAGATAGTTATTAGTAGTTATATTAGTAGCTATATTTAGAGTTAGTTATTTATGGTTATTTTTAGAAGTAGTTAATAGTTATTTTTAGAAGTAGTTATTTATTGGCGGTTGTAACCGCCAAGCTTCTAGAAGTTTTTTCCCCTATAAATATTCCCTCTAATTGTACCATATACACATATACATACACCATATATACACAATGATATACATTCCATACACTCTATTTTCTCCATTTCTTTTCTCCCATATTTTTATTTAGTTTAATAATACGAAATTTTCGGTTTTGTTTCACGAGCAAACGGATTTTCTCCCCCTTTTTCTTTTAATTCCTGCATATTATTATTGCTAGTAAAATTCCTATCATATTTTTCCACCTCGCCTTCACCCAAAAATTTCATGTTCGATTTGAATTGTTCAAGTTGTATTCCGACAAGGTTGCGGAAGGGCGATAGAAGAATCGACTATTTCAGCCCTGTGTCGTGTCACAAACGGATTTCGGGTAGTTCAACGTAGTTAAGTACGCGGGAGCCTTGTCGACCTGCTTAGTTGTTGTTCTGAATTCGATTCTGATTAAAGAGAGGTATCAGAGGGGTAGAGCCACTAGCGGAACGGTTGGAAGAACAATTCATGGGGCATAGGCGATGGTCTATTTGGTCACAGAAATTTCTAGTGACAGTAGAGTTTTTTGCTTATAATGTTCTTCGCTGGGTGTCGCTTAAGTCTCGTTGTAAATCCCCTAAGGTCGAGTACCAACCGAGTCGATAATCGGCTTAAGCGAGCAAATGCGATCACGTTCATTCCTCCGAGCCGCCCCGCAATTATACATATATTTTTCACTATCACGCCATCGTCATCCCGCTCATTTCATCCATGGAAATCTAGCCATTAAGGAACACAAAAGTCAGACACAAACGCCTCGCTTCATCCTTTTTGAGATACATATATTTTATTGCCTTTTAGTTAGATTTATTTTCTGCAATTTATCTTTTCAGTTCTTCGATTGCATTAACTCATTGCACTTTGTTTCTAATTAAATATAGGATATTCGCATATTCCCTGAGTGATGCTCACCGGTTAAAGAGATTTTTTATTTTTGACGAAATTTTTGGAGTTACTACACGAACACGCACGACACTATTTTCATTTTATACATATATCATTTTTTTGTATCTTAAAAGATATTTTAAAAAATTCTTCAAAAAATCTTCGATCACGTCACTCTCATCGTAGTCAACTCTTCATGAACATTTGAAGGCTCTGCAATCTTAGACTTCTCTAGCCTCGCAATCTTGATGTTGCATTATATTAGCTCAAGATTTCTTGTTTCACAGTCTCCTTGAGAGCAATCACCTCGGCCTTCAGTGCCTCGACGAGCTCTTGTATCGCCAATTCCCATTTTTTAGATTTATCCCTTATAGCATCGACTGAAGCTAGTACCCTTTTGCACAACTTGCTGCTCTCGAGTTCGCAGATACGTTGCTTCACCTCGTCAAGCTTATCGTGATGATCCCTGAAAGTTAGCTCCACCTGGTCGACCCATTCTCGAAGGCTCTCACGATATCAACAGACTTGTCCTAAGCGTTTATTCAGTTCTACCTCGGAACTTGGTTCTTAACCTCGAACTCAACATCAAACTTGTTAGTCGTCATTCTCTCATAACTCGGCTCTTATGCCACTTGTAATGGGTTAGATGATTCCTTCTTGAATACATTTCTTTCAGCCTAGCAACTCATCGGCACTCAAAAGAACGCTAAGGACGCAAGAACACCATAAGATACACCCGACAAAACTAAAGTGTGTATTGCTGTTTGTAAAGTGAAGCGAGTTACAAAATATGGGTGCTCTCCTATACATAGACACTATTTGCGCCTAACACAGGCCAAAGTATATCCATACTCGGATAGACTCTATCCATACTAATTTATGAATATGATAAACTTGTAATATCCCCGGAGTTGGGCCGGTGCGAGGCCAACTCTCGTGGATGAGTTGGTGCCAGGCCATCCGAGATTGAATAGAGGTTAAGTGGATTGAATACACTACTCATGTCAACAATGTGTACATTTTTCTCGGAAGCCCTACTTAAAGAACTCTAGAGTTAAGTGTGTGAGGACATAAATTCGCTGGAAGGACTCGTGTTGACCTGTGGGACCAATCTACGATCTCAACATGCTCGGCTTCGCATGGCTTGCGGGCTGGGGTGTCATAAAACTATACAACATATATAGATAAGCCACGTCTATTGGATAGATATGGACTTGGTCATAGGATGATCTCAATGTTTCTGGAAGATTCCAGGATGTTCTAAGAGATTTCTGCTAGCCTCTCCGATTCGGCATGTCGCACGGTGCTCTTCGGCCAAGGTTTCGGCCCGGGACATTCAATCCTGCCGATGAAATTGACCGATGACTCTCCTTAGCCTTCCGATTCTAGACACAAAAAATGCTTCTCTGGCAGTGCACAACCATAAGATACAATGGTTGTCCGGTATCCAGCAGCGGATCTATATCTCTATTCATATTCTAGTCCATGATAACCATGTCCTAAGGTGGTTCGGCTGGCACTCTAAGCCTCGACGCCTATCGAAAAATAACCAAAAAAAAGAGCTTCAAAATCTTACCGGAATTACTCACAAACGACTCATTGAAAACCTACCAATACATTCAAAACCACATTTCTTTAAGCCAAAAGCAGATAAAATGCAGAATTTTTCCAAAATAGATAGCACGCAAAATCTTTTCAACAAATAAAAGTGGGTTAAAGAAATAAATATTTAACTCAAGCGGTGATTTTCAACAAAGTTCTTAAGATGAATTTCCAATCATCTTTTAATATTCCAACAACAATTAAACGAGCAAAAAGATCATTAATACTTTGTGATTCTAGAAATATGATAAATTAATTAATTATTCAACTTTGGAAATACATTTATTACTTCCTAATCCAAAAAAATGATCTTTTGATAATGAATCTTATCTTGAATTATCTGATATAAAAATTGCTTATGTATCTACTAATATCAATCTTTCATTTCTATCAAACCATCTAGGCAATCCGAAAACATTATTTGATCGACAAATTGTTTCACCCAATGTTACTTCTACAATACCTTGTGGTCTAGTACGTGCCACAACTTGAAAATGACCATTCAACCTGTTATATTTGTATAATCCATATAGAAAATTTGCTTTGCTTGTTGTGCAATAATATAGTGTTCTATTGTATGCAGTAAATGTCTAAAATTAACATCCACAAGATGGTAAGCATGATGTTTTTGCACGCATGTGTTGGATCCTCCAATGACACCTAAAACAACATAATTTTCATATTCGGGTAAAGATCGTAAATAACTCCATAGTATGTTAAAAAATATTCAAGACATTCTCCGTGTTCATATTGTTGGAAATAATCCAGTTGTGAGAGACTAAGTCTCGTTGATTTAATTTTACTGCACATGTTTGAATTAATTTTATTGACTGAATAATTTCTTAGTACATAAGTTTAGGATTTATGTTTTCTATTTTTAGTTAATTAAGTTGTATTCATCGTGTGTTATCGACTCCAGTAGTGCCTATAAATACTGGAGTTGTGGAGTCCATTTGAGAGCGTTCACAGTAGTAATAATACACTTTGTACTTTTGCTTCTCTCTTCACATCACTATCATTTCCTTTCACTTCCCTCTTTATTTCTTTATCTTACACATATATACATATATAAATACATAAATATTGTTCTTTGTGGTTTGTTTTCACTTTCCCTTTCATATCTATTTCATCTTTCACCTTTTTCAATAACTCATATATATATATATATATATTTAGAAAGACATATACATATTTTTCCTGCCCACTTATTGGGTGATCTGTTCGTGTTGATTTGTTTTCTTGGGTCAAAGCCAACAAATAGTACCAGAGCCTGGTGTAGCCTGGCGTAATCTGGTATAAACATTGCATGCCCAAATACCCTAGGTTCAAAAGGATGTCGAGTGTTCCGCGGGGTGCGGGGGTGAGAGACAACGTCAGGGTGACGTTTTTCTATCCCCAGTTAACATCGAAAAATTACACAACTTGATCGATCAAGGTTGAGGCGATCGTGGAAGCCCAAGGAGTCTGGGAACCTATTGAACCTACAGAAGGAAAGACGGTAAATGCAAGAAAGGATAAGGTGGCAATGGCGCTCATTTTCCAAATGCTCCCGGAGGACCTATTATTGCAAGTCGCAACGAAGAAGACTGTAATAGAGGCCTGGGAGAGTTTAAAAACCAGATTCGTTGGGGCAGATCGTGTCAAGACGGCGCGTATGCAAACACTAAGAAGTGAGTTCGAAGGAATGCATATAGGGGGAGATACCCTAGAAGCATACATGGGAAAGTTGAGCGGGATGGCCGCGAAATATTCCAGCCTCGGGGCGACGCTAGATGATGAAACCTTGGTAAAGAAATTATTTGACTCTTTACCAAGTGAATATTATCCCGTTATTACAAGAATTGAGCAGTTTAGCGACTTGGGAAGTATGCCATTTGAGGAAGCGGTAGAGCGACTGAAGGCATTTGAGAAATGTACACAAATAGGGAAGCCAATTTCTCTTGGAGAGAGTCAATTGCTTCTCACCGAAGCACAATGGAGAGAACGAGATGGTCGAAGGAATTGCGACCGGTGTGGACGCAATAGGAACGACAACAACAACAATGTGAAAGGCTCAGGCATAAGGAATGACCGAGATAAGAGCCACATCAAATGTTACAAGTACGGAAGAATGAGGCAGTATACATCTGAGTGCAGGAGCAAGCTGGATAAGGCAGAAGCAAATTTGACACTCTTGGAGGAAGAAACTACCTTGCCTCAAACAGAAGATCAAGAGCCTATATTGCTGTTTTCTGAAGTAGACACCGAGCTCGTTTAAAGTCGCATCTAGATTGGCGGGAGATTGTTGAAAATAATCTAGTTGCAAGAGACTAAATCTCGTTGATTTAATTTTTCTGCACATGTTTGAATTAATTTTATTGACTGAATAATTTCTTGGTGCATAAGTTTAAGATTTCTGTATTCTATTTTTAGTTAATTCAGTTGTATTCATTGTGTGTTATCGACTCCAGTAGTGCCTATAAATACTGGAGTTATGGAGTCCAATTGAGAGCGTTCGCAGTAGTAATAATACACTTTGTACTTTTGTTTCTCTCTTCACGTCACTATCATTTCTTTTAACTTCACTCTTTATTTCTTTATCTTACATATTTATACATATATAAGTATATATATTTTGTCATTTGTGGTTTTCAATAAACCTTCTCTAGTTCGTCAACATCACTCTTTTTATTGTGTTTGTTTTCATTTCCCCTTTCAAGAAAAATGGGTCAAAATTTGTGATCGTTGCAGTATATGTTGATGATTTTAATATTATTGAAACTCCTGAAGAGCTCCAATCAGCCATGAAATATTTGAAAAGACAATTTGAGATTAAAAATTTTGGAAAGACAAAATTCTGCCTTGATTTGCAAATTGAATGTATGGATAATGGAATATTCATCCACAAACCCGCTTATACCCAAAAGATATTAAAACAATTTTATATGGATAAAGCACATTCATTGAGTACCCCAATATCGTCAGGTCGCTTGATCCTAACAAGGATCCATTTAGACCTAAAAAAAAATAATGAAAAAATATTTGGTCATGAAGTACCATATTTTAATGCAATAGATGCACTCATGTACCTAACAAATAGAAAAAGGTCAGATATTGCCTTTCAAGTAAATTTTATTGGCCAGATTTATATCATCTCTTACTAAACGACATTGGAATGAGATTAAGTATATTTTGCGCTATCTCCAAGGAACAAGTGATCTTGGCCTATTTTATCCGAATAAGAGCGACACAACTTATTAGGCTATGCCAATGCTGGGTATTTATCTGACCCGCATAGAGCAAAATCGCAAACCGACTATATATTTACATGTGGTAATATTGTGATATTTTGAAAATCCACCAAACAGACAATAATTGTCATATCATCAAATCGTGCTGAAGTATTAGTTATTCATGAAGCAAGTCGAGAATGTATTCGGTTGAGGTCAATGACCTATCATATTCAAAAGAATTGTGGGTTAATATCAAAAAATGAAAATCCTCCAACAATTATACATGAAGATAATGCAGTTTGCATTGCTCAATTAAAGGGTTGATATATTAAAGGAGATATGACAAAATATATTTCACCAAATTTTTTCTTTACCGATGACCTGCAAAAAAAATGGTGAAATCGATGTACAAAAAATCCATTCATCTGATAATTTTGCAAATTTATTAACCAGGACCCTACCAACAACAACATTCAACAAATTGGTGAAATGAATTGGAATGTGTCGGCTTAAAGATCTCAAATAAAGTCCAAATCAATGGAAGCAAATCAATACAAGAATGATGCACTCTTTTTCCTTCACTAGGATTTTTTCCCAAACGATTTTTTTCTATTAAAATTTTTACGGAACACATTCTTTATATAAAGTATTTAAGCAAAAAGTATTGTACACCACATCATAAACACATATGTATAGTGTCGATAGTTGATAGATGCTACGTGGCCATTCATAGACAACAACTTGTACTTAGTTTTACCTATAAATATATTGTAACTCATTCAATAATAATAATATTCAATTCACTCATTATCTCCTACCCCATCTTAATTCTTTCTCCCTCGGCACTATCTATTTTCACCTACTCACATATATATATATATATCTCATATATATTTACATACCTAATATATATATATTATACACTTATTATATTCAAACATAGTGATTAACAGTTGAGATTATTAAAAATTTCTATTTTTTTCCGATAATTATATTTACAATAATAATAATAACTTTAGAGTAAATGAGTGAAAAACCGAAAATGATGTTAAAAATAAGTTATTGATCAAATGTGTCGAGTGCCCCCAAGACATCTATTTTAAAAAGACAACAATTAAATTTATAATATTAGAGTATAGACACGAGCAACACGTCTCATCCATTTTTTTAAAAAAAAAATTAGGCAAAATTTTATTTTTTTTTATTTTAACGGTAATAAGTATTTTAGCATTTAACATATTAAGTGCACAGTTAACTAGAGTGTGACAACAAATTTCTTCTTCAAATGCACAGACAAAGTCAGAATGATAAAATTATATTTCACTAGTAATTAACAACAAACTTCATCATCAAATGCACAGACAAAGACAAAGCCAAAGTGTTTTGACAAACAAAATTAAATTCCATCCAACTCCAAACATCTTCATCTCCAAAACAAATTAAAAGTTTGTCTTTCAAGTTTGGAGCTTTAATCCAAAGTAATACTTAAAATCAGCTAGCAGCAACTGCCTAAAAAAAATAAAAAATAAAAAACCCAAAAGGAAAGAAAAAGCATGTCAATACAAAAAATCGATACACAATTCACGTGTAAAATTTGAGAATGTCCCCAATGAATACGGGAGGATCTTATAAATAAAGGGTATCAGGTGTCCCTAGCCAAATGTATCCTTGTCTGACAGTCATGTGTCCCTAATATGCTTCCACATAAGGTAGAGGAAGTGTCTCTATTCCCTAAGAAGGGAAATACCTTCAAGGTTGTTGCCCGCTTAATGAAGATGGTATTCAACATGGAAGAACCTGCTAAGTTATTCATGCATAAGAACTTACCTAGTGTTATGTATGATTGGTATATATCAGACCTCGGTGTGCATATGCTAGAAGTTATTATTTTGGTGGTGTTGGGGTTACCATTCAGTGGTATTAAAGTCAGAACAATGGTAAGAGCAACAACCTTCATTGAGTTGAGATTGATATTCAAATATTTCTTCTTAGAACGTATTGATTTGACCCTATAAGCGGGACTAAGCATGTTGTCGCTAGAAGCTCGTATTGCCCATCCGTGACTAATTTCTCCTTATTTTTTCTCTTATGTGTTCTTTTGATAGTTTATCCAGAATTCCCATAAGTTGTGCAAGAATAGTGGCGTTGAATCATTTGACTTTGACTTAGGTAGATTAAGTACTTTTTGGGTCGTCTCAATGCCACTGTAGTTTTAAAAAATAATGTTTAAATTTTTCTAAACGAACCAGAGCCAATGAAGCCAATGAATTGAATGAAAAAAAAGGGATTAAGTGGAACATAATTGACTTTTAAAAAATATTAAATAGATATGATAATAACTACAAGAAAAATCTTACCCTTATCATCCTCTTACAAATAATATCATTCAATAGATTCATTTATCACCATTGCATCAGTTGAAAAAACTTTATTGTCATTCTCTTAATCATCATCTCCACTATAGACTCTTCAATATCTTCACCAGCGTCCCTCATTTGACATATGGATCAAATGAATTATTGTCAAATTGTGGAATATCTATCACAGTGGGGAAAGTATCTAACTATGTTTTCCACTTTGAGACATCAACATTATAGTTTTACGAAGATATTCAATAATATAATTTTTAATTGAAAATAATATAAAATAATTATTAGTCTCTTATATTCAAACTGTTGCTGCAATTGTTGATGTATTTTTTCTTGAGCACGGTGCGATTGTTCCTCAATTCCATCTTATTCTATGCATTATGGCTCAAAACATGTTGCGAGCATAAACCTCAAAAAATTACCTTTGCAACTTTATCCCTTGAACTAAGACCAAGAACACAATATTTCTGGTTGAAACCTTCAAATGCATCAATTAAATCTTGATTCGGATATTGTGGAACATCATTACCATATAAACCCTAAAATTAAATAAAATTCATCTAATTATTTAGTTATAAGCACAAAATAATGTTTCATCAATAAAAATTGTACCTCATGATTAATTGTTTTTCCTTTACGAAATATTCCATCTTTTTTATCATAACACTTATGGTAAAGCTTAACCTCATTGAGTAAACATCATGATTGCTATGTCTATACAAAATGCACTGTTCTCGAGTAAAATTTGAAGAAATTTGCTGAGTTTCACTGATATTTGTAAAATTCGGATATTATATTGAAACAATGAAAGAGAAATAATTAATATTTAGTGATTACAAAAATCACCAATGGAAAATAAGTGTGCAATTCTGAAATTATTTTCATTGTCCCCCAGCTTGTATTATATCATAATAAGTGTTGTTGAAACATATGAAGTAGAACTCAAGTCTACGATATTAAACGAATTTTTGGTTTGGCACAATCGTTTTGGGCATCCTGATAATTCTATAATGAAGCAAATAATCGAAAACTCCATTGGTCATTCATTGAAAGATCAAAAGATTTTGAATTCGAATGAATTTGCGTATGTTGCATGCTCACAAGGTAAATTGATAATTAGGCTATCACCAACCAAAGTTGGTACTGAGTCTCTATCATTTCTGGAAAGAATCCACCACGTGGGTCATTTAAATATTTTATGGTGTTTATTGATGTATCAACGAGATGGTCATTAATGCATCAACGAGATGGTCACATGTATATTTTCTATCTACGTTAAATATAATCTACATATATATAAATACTAAATTATATATTATTTAATTTATTTTTTATTTATAAATAATATTAAGTTTTTATAACAAATATTTGAATATATATGATATATTTTTATATAAAAAAATATAATTATGAAATAAAATTAATATTAAGTATATTCGATGAAACTATAGAGTATAGATGTTAGTTTTATATTTTTAAAAAATATTTATCTTTTATATATTAAATATAAAAAAAATTATGTTGGGAATATTACTATCAAATATATTTGACTATTAATATATATATTTTTAATACTTTTTTGAAGTTATTATTTTATTATTAGTTTATACTTTCTAGATATACAACTATTTGATAAATTATTGTAAAAAAAATAATTCAAAATCACTACAAAACGTTCTAAATATTATTTATAAATAAAACTAATTTAATAATATTTAATTTACCATTTAGGCATTAACTTAGACCAAAATGCCTAAAATCTATAGATAGAATTCAAGCATAATTGTATAAATATGAATTTTATGAATGCAAGTAGAGAATGTTGTCAAGTACAAAGTAGGGTCTTAGAAGCAAATTAAGACAAGAAGTCAATAGCTTTTCGATGCCAATCAATTGCCTGGTTGTATGTTTCAGCCTAATTCATTCTTGTTGATATTTCAGTCCACCTTGCCCTCGGTTTATTATATGAAAAATCCGATACCAAATCAAAAAAAATTAAAAGAAAAAAATTAATTGGCAGAAAGTAAATCACATAGAAGGGTGAACATTGGTCGGTCCAAATCGAAAAATTATATATATATATATTTTTAATATATATATATTTTTTTTCGATTCGGACAAATCGATTTGGTTTGTTTGGTTCATTAATTCGGTCTAAAACCGATTTATAAATTTAGATTTTGATTCGGTTATGATTTTCAATTTTCAAACCAAATAAATCGAAAAAACTGAATTTTAAATAAAATAATTGTATATTTTATATATTGATAATGAAGAATGAATTAACCAAATAAGTGAGCATCATCATAAAAATTTCAAAACTTCGGTTTGTTCGATTTTTTAAATCGAACCAAACCAAATTAGTTTGGTTCGACTCAGTTTGGTTTTGCAAATTTTGTTCGGTTTTGATTTTTACAAACTGAAAATCGGTCAAAATTCAAAGGCCCGACCGAATGCTCACCCCATAATCACATATCTTCAACAACAATAGAAATTCATTAAGAAATATTTGTGCAGCAACTCATGGACTGTGCTATACATATATAATGTTTCTTAGCTATTTGTTAAATAGATGTGAACCAAATAAATTGCATATTCTTGATTCAAGAACTAACTTGCATTGGGCAAGCAATGTTCAGACCGGTGATTGAAACCGAACCAACCCTATATTTACCAGTCCCGCGTATCTGAGTAATTTTCTTGCCCGAGCACATTAACCAAAAAACAATCAGAGTCTCGACTTATATGGTGTGGATACCATCTGCCTCAGCCACTTTGGGATGAAATGCCAATTTGCTCCACTTCTGGGAACATAGGAACTTCATTCCCAACTCTACCTATTCTTTGAGGTGGCCACACAACATGTGTAACTCGGCCGCATATCACTCCCATAGGAATCTGCAAATTTTTTCATACCCTTTAACAAGTCAATTCCAGGTTTCCAAATTATTATATATGATTATATCCAGAAAAGGAGAAAAAAAAAAAAAAAGAAGCTTGAACTACTTCAATATAAACCAAACAGTTTCGTTAATCTGATCTCAGCTTAGCAATGTATCAGTTTCATTAACTCAATGATGATGTCAGTGCCCTGCTCTTCCTACATTCAGTTTTATCAGACCAATTTAGATAACGTATTGAATGCAGTAAAGAGAGAAACAAAATAATAAAAATTGACTTCACATTTGCACATCTTCAAGAGTCACTAGCAAGATTGCTTGGGAAAAGGTGAACTCACAAAACCTAGAACAAACAATTAGTTACCAAAGAAAAGGGGCACACAATGGTTTTGTCCCTAATTGAACCCCACTCTAATGATCTATGGCTTAAATCAGTATGAACTTCAGCAATATGCAAAATATTTCTTAATTATGCATCTATAACCTCAACAATTTACGACTTACAGGGCCAAATGATGTTGAGTCTAAGCTACAAGATGCATCTTCTCCGACAACCCAACAATGGCCTTTTGGGACGCTCACGGTGTGACATGAAGAGAGATGGATCAAATCACCAGGCAAAGCAGCAATCCTCTTTATGTATTTCTCCTTATAATTCATTGGTGAACTGCATAGGGTGTTAGCTAGATTGAATCAGCATATCTCCTTGGATCAGTAAAGTTAATAGAACATTAATATCATGTCATGCAAGCTGCCGAAAGCACCCAACCTCATCCATTATGAGTGAGAACCATATAACGACAATCTACAATGAATCTAAATTTCATATTCCAACTTAGTTCTAACATCACTTAAAATGAGTTGCTTCCTTTACCAATGAACAATGTATCAACTTAAATGTAAAGATTCACACAACTTCTTTAAATTTAAAAGATTCACACAATATATAAATACTTTTGAGGGGTTTCAAAAATGTGCTACGCTGCCTATTTTGTGATGAGCCCGAACATGTATCACACTTAAGATAAATTAATATTTCATACCAACCATATGTATCTTGGATACCACTGCACATCAAATCATCCCAAGTCCCAACTATATGCTTCCTTGTACTCTAACGGACACTCAGGCTCGATTTCATCAAAGATCTACATAGACCTAAGGAGAAAATGAAAAGATGTTTGGTTTTGAAGTACAAGCAATAGATTAACTCATACAAATAGCCCCACACAAAATAAAAACGCAACCTAATATGTAAACATTCACACAAATTAATATAATTCGTAGAGGTTTTGGAAATTTGCTAAACTACCTTCTTCTCCGATCAGCCCTAACATGTATCAATTTTCAGATAAATAATATATCATAAACAGTTGGAATAAACATTGGAAGGCATGTAGAACATAGCAGCTGTAGAAGGAAACACAAGCAATAGCCATAAATAAAATCAAGGACCACTCATCCACCTATTGAGAGGAAAGAAATTCATTAATGAGCATTAAGCACTGACAAAGAGTGGTATCATAAAGGGAAAGATATGGCGGACAACATTACCGAAAAACTACAACGTCTCCCCGTGAAAATTTGTATTTGTTAAGACAAAATTTTTCAACTAGCACGCGATCGTCTGCAACTAGAAATACAATCAATGAGAAACAGATACTGTTGCGTTGAGCTATAAAGGAGACACGTATAATCTCTTACCCATCACAAATGGTGAAGAGTTTTTGCAACGAGGATTCAAAGTAGGAGACATGGATGAGCCGCGAACAGGAATAACGCAGGCATATCGGTCAGTTATTGTGAGGCAAACTAGACCTGCAGTGAGAGATTGCTTAGCTAAAGTCCAGAAAAAGCTTTGAGAAGCCATCTCAATCTCAATATATGCATTTGAAGTTTGCAAGGGGTTCTGAAGCTTCGCTGCAGGGGGCCGGAGAATGAGGCAAGCCAGAGAGAGAGAGAGAGAGAAGAAGTCCCGAGGGTTAATGGAAGCTTAAATTGCAAAGCCCATTTCAAATTCAGCCTACACTTTAAGAAAGAACCCATTTAGTTGCCAAATTTTTATCCCAATCAAATTAATTGTATTTTATAACAAAGACATATTTTTTATCAAAATTTTGAATAATTAAAAATTACATATATAAATTAACGAAACAAAATTACCAGGAGAAAGACTTTTTTTAGTTTATAGATTTTTTCTTTCAAAATTTTACTTTAAGAAAAAAATCAATTTTGGTTCAATAAAATAAAAATAATCTATTTTAATTTTAATATAAAAAAACCAGGTCAATTTTAGCCTAATATAAAAAAAATTCAATGAATTTTTAAGTTATTTGGGGGTTTGAATTTTGAGTTGGGATTTGAATAATAAAAATTTTGAATTTGAATAGTTGTATGATGTGATATAAATAGATGTTGATGTAATATTTTGAATGTAAAATTGATTTTTAGTATAATATAAAAAATGAAAAATAAGTATTTGATTTGATGTTTTTAGGGGAAAAAATTGAATGAACAGTGTAAATCCAATCCAATTCCCAAACAAACACACCCTAATGTACACTACCATGTTATGCAACATCAGTTTCGTTAGTTTTTTTTAAGGTTGATACTAAAGTTGATTGAATTTTGTTATATTATGACTAAAATTGATTTATTTATATTAAAATCAAAATTGATTAATTTATATTAGAGAAAAATTCATATTTGTTCCCAATATAACCAAAATTTTCAATATAAAAATTTTATCGATTTTGGTCTCAATATAACCAAAATTCATTATTTTTTTCTCCAATATAATCAAAACTCATCATTCTTGGTTTCAATATAAAATTTTTATCAATTTTAATCGCAATATAATCAGAACTTATCATTTTTTGTCTTAATATAATCAAACCTATCTTTTTTTTTTGTCTCACTGTCAACAAACCGACGGAAAATGCTGACGTGGACTTGCAAGAATGTGCAATTTCTTCGAATATAAATATAAAGTTTGATTTCTTTTCACGTCAATATTTTCCATCAGTTTGTTGACGGTTGGACAAAAAAAAATAAAATTTGATTATATTGGGACCAAAAAATGATGAATTTGTGTTATATTAGGACAAAAAATAATAAATTTTAGTTATATTAGGACCACAAATGATAAAGTTTTGCTATATTGAGATCAAAATTGATAAAATTTTTTTATATTGGGATCAAAATTGATGAATTTTGGTTATATTTGGACTAAAAATAATTTTTTCCCATTGGATTACATTGGATCAAACTTAATTTTTTTCCTATAATTTATTTAAAAATCAATAATTATTATTGTAAAATTAGGTCTGGCGTTGATTTCAAGCAATCGGATAACCAGCCTGATCCAACCTAAATTAAAAAAATTTCGAGTAAGAAAAAAGAATAAAAAATTGCAACAATGTAAATAAATACCAAGCATGAGAAATGCTAGAAATGGTTCAATCCAACAGTTATACAATTCTCTGGATTCAATAATGCTTACCAAATTTGCCGATGCTACCAAATCCCAATCTCAATCCGAATGACTGTTCTTCCCCTTCCCCTGTATAAGCTTCAATTCGTCCATGGATGACGAAACCTACACTCTCAGATCTGAGTTACAATTTGGGAAATTAGTGAAAAATGAAAGACAGGCGCAGATACAATAATGTTCAAAAACCATAGAAAGCAGTCAAAACTCGAGAACAAAATGACCACCGGAGGCTACCTTCTTTATCACGCAGAAAATGAAGAAAGGAAAAGAAATGGCTGATGAGGCGGCTGGACGGCGTCTCCGGCGATTTAGGGTTCATATTAAAATATTGTATATTTTTATTATATATATTAAACAAATTCATTAATTTATATTAAATTAAAAAAAAAAAAATAATTGATTAAATTCTAAGATTTGTTTCTTTTGAAAAAAAATTTACACAATTCATTTATTGTATATATTCATTATTTTTCTATCAACCTTTTTGAAAAGAAATTTCAAACCAAAATACAAAATAAATAGGCTTTAACTCCCTTCTCTTTGCATATTAATTATAATTAAAATATTTTTAATATTAAATAAAATGACGCAAATAAAATATAACTTTTGAAGTTTGTATTTTTATTTTTTTTTTGAGATTTGAATATTAAAATTTTGAATTGAAATAATTGTATGATATGATATAAATAGATATTAATGTGATATTTTAAATATAAAAATTATAATAAAGAAATTGAAAAGTAGATGTTTGAAGGGAAAATTTTTTATAGATAGTAAAATTCGAAAAATTTAGATAAATAACACACCTTTAAATTATTTTGAGTGAGATTGAAAAAATTGATATAAATAAAGTCGCTACCCAAAAGTGCGCACTGGGTAAACCCCGGTCGAACCTAATACCCTGCAATCAGGCCCGTCGCACTAGGCGAACCATGTGTGACAGGTGACATGAGGCGTCGAGGGTTTGAACCCATAACCTCACGGTCACAAGTCCAACCCCTACATCACCAGGTTATCCCTTACGGGAAAATAAACTGTATATTTAATATATGAGTTGGAAAAGAGAGAGTTAATATATCATGTTTTGTTTAGATAAAAGATTTCCGTAAAGGATGACATAATGGTACGAGGATAGATTCGTGATAGTAAGGTTATAGGTTTAAAATCTGACGCCTCTAGGTCTTGTCACACATGTTCGCCTAGTGTAACTTGCCTTGTAGGAACTAGTTTGCAGGCTATCGGGTTCGACCGAGAGTTTATCCGGTACGCACTTTCGGGTATCGGCTGCAGGTTCTCACGTTATCAAAAAATTTTGAATATTATCTTTTAAAAAAATACTACCTATGTGCGGCTCTAAGAATCTCATTTACTTTTTACTTGTTGATATTTGAATATTAATTATTATATAAAAATGTAGTACAAATTAAGAGAAAATTACAAAAATATTTCTATGTGTCTTATAATAATATTATAATGACATTTATGAAAAATTATACAAATATATAAATATTTTTAATATTAAGCACAATGAAGCAAAAGTTAAATAAAACATTTAGAGCCAGACAAAAGAAATAGTAAATGAGATTATATTAAATAGTAAAACATTTATCAGTGATACGATATTTAAGGTAATTATATTAATTAAAATGATTAATTTATATTTTTAAAATATAAACATTAAAAACAACAGTACTTCATATATCCGGAAACAATTGACCACTTTTCTTAGTAATACAATATTTAAGATAACGATGTTGAATTATTTAATAATAATAAGTTATAATATTATTTTGTTATTTTTATGCAATTAATAATATTGATAGTTTTAAAATTAATTTAATATATATAATTAATTTTTTTAAATATATATTAAAATATTTTAAAAATTATCTCAAAATCAGAAAATATATTCAATATAGATATAATTTTGTATAGAATAATTTTTTATATGGTAAACTATTATTTTAGTCTCGTAACTAAACCCCTTTATCATTTTAGTCTCGTAACTAGATGCCGTTTTAAAATAGTTTTGTAAGTGAAAATTTTTCTTAATTTAGTTCTCAATGTCTATGTGGTATTCTGTCGGACACGTTTCGGCCTATTCAGCGCCATGTGGCTGACAAGTGTTTGATAATTTTTATTTTTTAAATTTTATTATTTTTTAAAATATAAAATATATAAAATTAAAATAAAAAATAAAAATTATTCACATGTCCGTCAGGTCAGCGCTACGTAGCGGCTACGTAGATAATTTATGTATTTTTTTTAATTTTAATTTTTAAATAAAAAATAAATAAATAATAAAATTAAAATATAAAATATATAAAAAATAAAATTTAAAAATATAAAATATAAAATATAATTTTTTTAAAAAAATATCCACATGTCCAATCCGATCAGCGCCACGTGACTGCGACATGGATAATTTATATTTTTTATATTAAAAATAAAAACCAAGATATAAAAATAATTAAAAAATATACTAATATATAAATTATTAAAGGTCATGTGGCTTGATTTGACGAATATATGGATAATTTTTATTTTTTATTATACTTATTTTTAATTTTTAATTTAAATTTAATTTAAATTTTAATTTAAATTTTAATTTTAATTTTAATTTTTTTTTTAATTTTAACTTTTATTTTTATTTTTATATTTGTAATATTTATATTTAAAAAAATAAAAAATTATCCATGTCAGTGACGTGACGTTGATTTGGCCGACACGTGTCTATTAGCATGTCACGTAAATGCCACATAGACATTGAGGACTAAATTGAGAAAAATTTTCAATTTTAAGACAACCTCAGTTATAGGACTAAAATATAAATGAATCTAGTTACCGGACTAAAAAATCAGATTACCATTTTTTGTAATATAAGAAAATGAAAACTATGCTTATTTATTTATAATTAATATAAACTAATTTTATATAAGATGTGAAAATTTTAAATGCAGAAAAAAAAATATTTATTTTTTAGGAGAGAAATATCAATAAATACGTTTTGAATGGTACTACATGATATATGATGTTATATATTAAATAGTTAATTAAATTTTGATTTAATAAGTTCTATCTAAACTGAAAAAAGTTTTAAATTGTTGTAGGACAAAAAAAAAAAAAACAAAAGAAAAATGTGTCGAGAGAGTATTATATTATAAAATTTCTATATTATTAATAATTATTTATTATTTATTAATATTAATTTCAATTTATATATTGTGACACTAATAAAAAATATTTTAAGACAATTGTAACGATTACAGATATACGGGGTCGTACCCCATTACCAATTTTTCTAAGTTCGGTTTGTTGCAGAATTTGATATTTTGATCCATTCGCTCTATTCCTAAGGAGTTTACGTGCAATACAAGGCTCAAATTGTGATTTAATTTTCTATTGTGTTTATTATTCACATTTATTTTTTCTAACATTACATACTTATTTTATAATAATATTCTATATTAATAATTTATATATTACACCGATAAATTAAATTATTTATACTATTGAACAATACTTATATAAGATTTTTTTTTTTTTTCCCTCTCTCTTTATAGTAAATTTCAGTGGGATGCGAAGTAAGAGGTCGAATTTCTGTATAAAAAAATGTTGAAAACTATAGGATTTTTTGTTTGAGTAGGAAAGTTTCGGCTCCACACATAGGTCGAGGTTGTTACACTGCAAAAGCATAGGTTGTAACGGGAAGAATACGATACGGCTATGGTTGTCAGCATGCGGGAAAACTATAGTCGTAAAACATGTATGCCTGCTACCTGACGCTACAACCGGAGCGACTAGCCCGTGTTCCGGTTCGTTCCTTAAGGTTGTGCGGGCCGTATAATCCTTTGGAGGCACGTTGACCGATGGTGACTGACTAGATAAAACTATAAATATAAATATAGAAAAATAAAAACTATAAATAATAAAAAGACAATTTAGAAAAAATCAAATAAAAAAAAACACAAATTTACAAATAAAATTTAAATTATTTTGTTATTAAATATTAAAATAATAATAAATATTTCCTCTATCTGAAAAGTTTAGCTTTATTTTTTGTATTTTTACAAAAAGTGAGCTAAATTTGATGGATGAAAGGAATAATAAAAATCACACTCTCCCGTCTTTAGCACCTTCCCGGACAACTACATTTATATGGGGTATAATACAGTGAAGGCCGCTTAGAGATGATCTAATTAATAGCAATTAATTTCTAAAAAATACAAAATTTTAATATATATGTAAATTTATTAATTTATCTATAAGAGATGAACAAATAAGTAAGTCTTACCTTAAAAAAAAGTTGAAGTGATGGTTGAGATAAATAATAAAAAATAAAAAAGTTGGAATATCGTGACCATTTTGATTTGTTCACTTTATATTTTTTATGGATGTATTTTTTATATTTAGTATGATGAATTGAGTTGGTAATATAAAAAATACTCCCCTGCCATAGGATACGGTATTTAAGATAATGATATTTAATTAATTAATAATAGTGGATAAAAAACTGATACAAATGCTCATTTTTGGACACAAGAAGTCTCTTTTGTCGACTTTGTACGAATTTTGACTGTTACAAAAAACCGAGTAACAAAAAGTCTCTGTAGTGGAACTTTTCGTAACAAAATATTAATGGTCAACGCCCCTATTACACACGTGGTAAATTTATCTATAACGGTTGAATTCATTTTTGTAACGAAATTATCCGTTACAAAAAAAAACCAATATTATTGTCCTTCGTTGTGATAATAACATCTTATTACGAATATTTCTGTAACAAAAGGAATGTTCAAATACCTCAATCTCGTTATAAAAAATATTTATTACAAAAATTCTCCGCAACAACAAAATTGTTATAATTTTCTATTGACTGTAACAAAATTTTTCGTAAGGACCCAACAATAATGACAAAAATAATGGTATTTCTTACAGCATTAATTTTTTCACAAATAGTATAAGACCTATTTTTTTTATACCAAATACAAAAACTATAGATAATAATGCCGATCCAATGTTTTTTGACACGCCAAAAATATAAATACATTATTTTGCCCCCAACAACCATGCTCGACATATCCGAAATACCTAACATCCAAAATATCTACAATCCATACTATCCAACATCCAAAAGATATAGGAATAAACATAAGTACGAATTAAAATAAACATGGTTGTTGTTTTTGACAATTTTATGGAAGGCACTTAGAGGTAGCGAATCAATTGCAATGAAAAGTGAATTTGTATTTTTCTTTATCGTTGCCCAATAAATTTATTAGTTGTTAAGCAAAAAATAATTAAAAGAACAAA